CACAGTAAGGGGCCTCTGCAGGCTTATACTAGGGGTCTTTATTTGGGGGCCCCTTGCACTTTTTAACACAATTACTACACCACCCTTCTGTCCTGATCTTCTTGCTTTATTCATATGCATTGGTTACTCTGCAGGTTGCAAAGTTTCCACTTGCAAGCCCCTCTGAATGGGTAAACTAATTTGGGGCGTAGTCCCCGCTACAGACCGGGGGAGTCTCTGTCCACGGCACAAGAATGTTGACTTAGAAAAGCAGCACAAAGAGGACGGCTAATTTAAAAGGATGCCTTTCCTGTAAGCGGAATGTGGTAAAACAGTACCACAGAGGGTTATAGTTCAAGCATAGAGTCCTCCTATATCTTTGAGTGCTTCTGTAAAGCCATTAGCTGATGAAGCTATGTGACAGCCGGAGACAGTTGGATTTGTTTTCCTTTGCATCTTTTTAAAAAGTGATGCAAAAACAACGACGAGAAAAGGGGCCTTAAGATGAAGAGCCCAGTGAATAGTTAGGATTACGCAGGATTTCTTTATCAACATTTTTCCAGAGGTCCAGGAATTCCTCACATCACTCCTGACTTCCAGTTACAGATGCACACACCTCAGTATCTGACATTATTACATTTTCCCGTATGTTACATGGTGGATGTGATACTCAAGGCTACATACAGGAAAAGGCATGTGGATGTGAACGGCGGGGGGATGGGAACGTACAGTATATTTATGAACACACATGTCTGTGTGCGTTATTCCCTTTAATAGCTCTACAGGCAGACGGGGGTGAGGTAAGAAACAGACAGTGCTTCATTAGTGATTCCTGTAATGTCAATAAAGTTGGGATGGTTAACAGGAAGAGTGTGGGATGGGGCTGGAGGGAGACCAACCCAAGGCCATGGGAAGTGTTGGACTGGGCTACAGATCATCATGACAATGATTGGATCATCAGTCATGAGCTGACAGGAGGAGAGCTCACAGGCACAATATATCTGAAACAAGCACTTTGACCAGACAGTGTAAAGACTGGATCTGATGTGTGTAGCACATATAAGACAATGAAAAATTAAATAATCTCATTAATTTTATATTGAATATGACTGCCTATTTAACAATATATGTAGGAAGGCTGAACAACTACAGAAATGTAATTCGCAAATCACAAAGACTGTATTTTAGGATTAAAGTCATGAACCATGGTTTAAACAGTTGTATCAGAGGTTTAACACATTTCTGACTCGTGTGACACTTTTGATGGTATCTCATGTGAAAATGCTCCGTTACATGTTTTAAATCTATGAAATAGTACATTTTGAATTGAAAATAGACTTTAAAAATGAATATTGCAAATCAAATCTCAGTATGTCTGTAAAATAGCAATTCAGTATCTTCTCAAACTCATTAAACACTAATGTTTAGAGCCAAACTAACAAAATATTTTGTTCCATCTTTCATAACTAGTAAAACTTGTATGACTTTCACATTTTAATTAAATATGAAAAAAAATAATTAACTAAAGTAGTTGGTAAGCTTTATTGCTTTTGAGCTATTGGGTTAATTCAAAGTGGTACTCCAGCAATGTATTATTGCACTCCCACATCTGGATGACATGAGATTTGCATTTAGGTGGTAGATAAAAATAAAGAACTGGCAAAACCAATGTAGCAGAGAGCAAGATACTGTGATTTTTATCCCATAATATGACAGAAACAGAATACTACAGTTTCTTTAATGCACCGTAATAATGTCTGTCTATGGACCCCATCCGCCTAATGAGCTCTGATATCATTTAAACTAATAGTCCTCACTTTGAAAAAGCACATCTAACTCAAGTCTTGTATCCAAGATAAGTTTAGTCCAGTTAGGTTCTCAGACAGCCTCCTTCCAAGCAACAGAAGACACTGAACAACAGATTTTACAGGCCGTGAGGTATTAATCTTAACAATTAAACACACCTTTATGTCTAAAATCTGTAGAAAAAAAACCCATCACAAGTACAGTAAAACAAAGAAATTAATGAGTATGTTTTGTCTCCTCTTGGACTGTTTTAATGTAGCTATAATCTTGTTGCAACCAGCAAAAAAAAAAAGTGTTTTTATATCAGTGAGGTACCAAATGTGCCCATAACAAGCAGCTCAGTCCTACCTTTGATGGTGGCAATCTTAAGGACAAAGCACCATCTACTGGTCACCTTTAAAAATGAAAACACGCTGCAGATCCTGGTTACATTATCTGAGATTGTGCACTAGAGGGAGGTGTTGTATTTTTCTTCTCTGAGTGACCGCTCACTTCATGCTGCTCCATCACGTCATGTATACAAACGCACCCAACACAGCCTGTTTTATGAGTCTTTGTAGGATCCTTCCCTCTATATAACACCTTATCAAACTGTATTAGAGAATTCACAGTGCTACCGTGTCTTCTGACTGTAAAATTATTGCTGTCTGTGGTGCCAGTTCAACAGAGAATAATCAATTTCTGCATAAAACTGTTTGCAATATTGCCCAGCAATATTGATATTTTAAATAGGTTTGATTTCTGACCCCTTATGAGCTGTAAACACTTTTACAGTCATTCTAATAAGAGGCAGAGCGTTTTTATTGCTGGGTATATGAGAAATGCGATATCGCAATAATAGCTGGCGATGATTGTGGGAAACATTTAGATATAAAGGGACGCTTTGTGGCGGCTCACCCTTTTAAAAATGCAGGCATGCTCGCTCGGCCCTCTGTTGTGTGCGAATTCACTCGTTCACATGGGAAATTTTCTGTTTATTTTTCTTGCAGCAAAAACAGACGTTTTTTTGTTTCGCTGTTGGCATTTAAGACAAATTCTTCTAAAGCAGCACTGAGCTCCATTAAAACTGTTTCTGAGATGGCATGACCATATTAACCTTTGAAAAAGGCTGCTCCTGTCATCTGTGAAGTCTCCATACACTCTCTGTTTTAAGAAAGGTCATGGGCTAACTAAATGTCCCTGGGCTAACAGTATAACTTTGCTATCCTGTCTTCATCAGTGGAATTTGCTTTAAACTGTGAATATACTGAATGTGAAATATTCTCCTTCTACTTAATTGCAACATATTAGATATATCTTGTTGGAAATAATCACCCTCTGCCTTTGCCAGAAGGAAAGCAGATCTAGTTTTCTAAATTCACATATAGAAACTTTAATACAGCATTATACATTTTACAAGTAATGATAATGAAGACAAATAAGTGGCAGGTTCTGTTTCTCGTTTGGTGACTTGCAGATATGTGACCATAGTGCTGTAACAGTGTAATAGAGCCAGTAAGTGCTAAATAATTCCTCACGTCCCTCGAAGCTGATGTGTATTCATGGCGGTTTGCTGTATTGATCAGCCTGCTGCGTACTGATAGCCAGAGATGAACCCCTTGAACAGAGGGGAGAGACGTCTCTGATGGACCATGATGGTTTCTCATTGATCTCTCTGACTGACTGTTGAGAGACGGGCATTCTCTCCCAGACACAAAAGAGATGGTGGAATACGAAAGTCTTACAAAATGTGGAGAAAAGACTGAACCTGTGGGTCACTTTAGGTATAAAAAGGGCTTTTTTTTAATGCCTTTAAATTGTGAGGGGTGAAATACAGATTTGGCATTCAGTCAAGTTCCCTCCCTCCATGGAGGAGCCAAACAGCATCGGAATGAGAAGATGAGAAGGGACCTATCATCCAGCCTGTAGTCCAGGAAAATAATTAATGACCTTCGGGAAAGTCATCCATCCCTTTGACAGGCAGGGGGAGTCTCTAAAAAAAGGTAAATTAGGCCTACATCTTATTCTCTGTCAGCACAGATGTTTCCCATTTAATCTCCAGAGGAATAAATGACAAATGGATCAATATGTTTCTTATGCATTTTACAATATATTTAGGTTTGCCTAATGAGAGTAAGTCTTTGTCAAAACAATATGTACTGCAATCCACCATTAGAACATATATACACATGCTTTTGTCCTCAAAAGACAAGCCTTCTTATAATTTACATTATTGTGATTTCTCTTTGGTAAATAATAATAATAATAATAATATAATAATAACAAAATAAAAATAAAGGTTGAGAAGGTGCATAAACCGTATTTTAGCTACATCCTTATTGTGCTTCATCAGTTGAGGCACTTTTCATCAATGACAGAGTTGAAGTATTCTCTCAAGAAATAAACTATCTTCGCTGGATTCTTATTTTATTTTTCATTTGACAATTTATTGCGTCAGGGAGCCTCAGAGCCTATTGTCTGTACGAGCCTGTGACCAGTCAATCACTGCTATGTCAGCAAGGGTCCCAGCTGTCTACATGACGTAGTGCACTAAACAAGTCACCATATGGACCCAGAGGCATGCTGGGATATGGAGTCATATGTGAGCTAGTGCGATAGACGGGAGCGGCATGGAAATGTGGCTGGAGTAGCTTTTCTACGAGTGTTTGTTATTAATTATGTCTCAAAAAGTCGCTGTTACTCAACTCTGCTTCCTTATAATCAAACCGGGATGTGAACTCAGCTTAAATTTAAGGAATAAACTACAAATCCCAATGTGGCTGGTGTGAAAAACAATTCACCCCCACGGTTTGAGGCGTTCAGGTGGGCTTCTCCGAGTTGGGTTTAAAACTTGTAAATAACATTTTCTGTAGGCTGTGGGTTGAAAAATGACAACAAAGGCGACCAGTACATGTTTATTGCAATAATTTGAACATTTCAGTTCTATGGCACCAAAATGCATTGAGTTGTCGATGTAAAAAAGAGTAGGAGTAACTATTAAATGGGTCTAATGGTAGCAAAGAATACATGTATCCCCCTTATACTTGCATGTAATGACCTCATTCACCAAATTATTCAATTTTTTTTTACCTTAACGAGCTGAAATAATCTAAATCACCCATGCTTCTAGCGTTTATTTTGTACTTTATTGCACTCCGGACACTGATTTGTGCAATTTCCGACAGTCCGTGAACACCGCCCACCACCAGCAGCAGCAGCAGCAGCAGCAGCCATCCGCATCAAACAGATTTCATTCAGTGTGTGGCTGCTCCGTAGAGAACAACAGGCTACCTCCCTCAGTCCTCTGTGAGTATTACAGCCGTCTCTGCCTCTAGCCTTTTCCTCGAAGTTATGTCAGATAATATTTTTTTTTTTCGTCGTTTGAGTCGAGGCCGTATCGCCTAATTTCGCTCATGTCTCTCGCTGAATTGGGGTTTTTTATTTCTTTCCAAAGTCATGACTGAGACGTTTGTGGACAGCGTGGTCTTTTGTTCTCTAGGTATATTTCTCGTTTTGACAAAGGAAAGCTGTGTTTTTAGTTCGGTTAACCGCTGCGACACTTTGACAGCGACATGGTTGCTTGTTATTTTGGGTTATTCTTATGTTTGCTGGATTATTTTCTTGTGTTGTTTAGCAGTTTATCGATATGAAGCGACCGGTATTACCCAGTGTAGACATGCTGTATTACCAGACTGACAGAAGTGGGAACGGTTGTTTTTTTGTTGTTGTCTTTGTAGATGTTTAAATATACATTAAAGAAGTAGCTTTTCTTGATACTTGTTAATGATTTCGTTTCCCCTTTTTTGTGTTTTTTTTCTTTTTTTTTCTAGGATGCTGCAGAGCTATGGGACAAAGGAAACATGAAAACAAGCTTTGAAGCAAGGTTGCCATCTAACAAAGAGCCATAAAATCAAGATCAACATGGGATCCTAAATTTGATGCACACTTTTTTAAATATACAGACAAATCACCCCATAAATCATCTCAGAGTGTTTGGTTAAAGAAGGTGATGGTCTTCAGTGTTCAGTCAGGATCCAACCATCACACTTGTTTTGCGGCTTGGAAGCATATTAGTGGCCGAATGTTTTGCTCTGTAGGAGGCTTTTTGTGACAGAGCAGCCCTGCTGTAAATAGAGATGTGGAATAAAACATGCACATAACTAGAGGGGTTCAGTCTGCCTCGGTCCTACTGGCAGGGCAGTCTTCTCTCCAGCACCCAGCCCTGCAGCAGCTCCACAGTGTCCTCATGTGGCATTAGTTACTGACTGACTTGTCAGCACAGCCAGGAGCCGACTAAGGCTCAAACCCCAGCTGCGCCATGACTTCGTCTGACAACGAGGAAACCGGGAGTGATCTGTCTGAGTCTCTGGAGATCCGCGAGCTCCAGGACCAATACATGGACCCAGAGAACTGCTTCAAGTCCAAAAGTTTACCCATCCTGAACGGACCCTGTCAGCGGCAGGGCAAGGCTGCTGAGCCCCGGATGGTCAGCACCACCCACACCTGCGTGGCCGTGGAAGAGGGCAGCGAGCTCCAGCCTAAAACCCCTGACTCCAGCCAGGCGGAGTCCCCCTCCTCCAGGACAGACTTCTCCCCATCTGTGTCCAGCATGGTGGGGCTCAGCAGCTCTCTGCCCGTGGAGGGACACAGGCCCGCAGGCGCTGGAGGCAAAAAGCTTGGTTTCTCTCTCACCCGCCTTATCCACATCCCAGCCAGGAAGTATGTGCGGGTCATCCTGAGTGATTCCCGCTGCTTCTTGTTCTGCATGTGCTACCTGACTTTTATTCAGTCGCTGATGGTTTCGGGCTACCTGAGCAGTGTCATCACTACCATTGAGAAGCGCTACAGTCTGCGTAGCTCTGAGTCCGGCCTGCTGGTCAGCTGCTTTGACATCGGCAGCTTGCTGGTGGTCGTCTTCATCTCCTACTTTGGTGGCAGAGGTCAGAGGCCGCGCTGGCTGGCCGTGGGTGGTGTCGTGATTGCTGTCGGGGCAGCGTTGTTTTCCCTTCCCCACTTCATCTCGCCACCCTACCAGATCCAAGAGATGAACTCTTCAGCGGGCCACGAAGGCCTCTGTCAGAGCGTCAACAACAGCGGGCGTGAACTTGACGTGACATCGTGCCCTCGCGACCAGGAGGGCAATGAGCACAACCTGTACGTGGCGCTGTTCATCTGCGCCCAGATACTTGTGGGCATGGGGTCGACGCCAATCTACACCCTGGGCCCCACCTACCTGGACGACAATGTGAAGAAAGAAAATGCATCCCTCTATCTGGGTAAGTAGTAGAACAGCAGGGGAGATTATGTCACGTACAAGCACTGCAGTCACTGAAATCCATTTAGGTTTTTTTTTTTGCTTATGACTAACATTTGCAAAAAGTGAAGGAATTATGTTAGAACACAAAAGCAATTAGGTGGTTTAACACAGATGACAGGCTTCTTTTTAGACTTGAGCAGATCTGCTGGTCTTGCTCCGCAGTACAAACGAAGCACTTCTGGTGTGTGACTGGAAGGATGCAGAGCTCTTGGGTTATACAGTTAGTGGTTTGTAACATAATTAGTGTCAATTTTACAAGCAGATTTCATTCCCATTATAAATGGATTGGATGGTTGTGTTCTGATAAATTTAGAAGACTGGGTGGGTCTCACTGATGTTTACCAGGAGGGCGCGAACATGCATGTATGTATATACAAAGAGTTCATCCCCCAGCCCTCTGTCCTTTTGATTTAATCTCACGGCATGCAACCTCTGCACCACACTGAGGTAAATACAGACACTGCAAAGTCAACCTTGGGCCATGGGCGCATGAGAGACAAGTGTGTTGCTAGAAGCAGAACTAGGTTGCTTATGATTAATGGTCCAATACTGTCTGTGTATGTGTGTGTGCAATACTGCTGTGTCCTTAAGTTTGTGCTCGTGCACAGAAACCTGGCAGCACTAAAGAAACATGTACTCATGTTAACCCAGAAAAGACGAGATTGTGCTGTAAGTGTTAACAGATTGCTTTCTCTGTCCCTGTACTGTTGTATTCCTTCTGACATTTCCTCACAGCTCTCCTGTAATTTATCTGCTGTGCTGGGGCTTTACTGGCTTTAATGGGTTCGGATGTACATGCATACCACATACTGTACATAGCTTATGGTGCAGATCATGATTGCTGAAGTAATCCCCCTGCCTGTCTGTGCACTGTGGTTGGATTATTGGGACATGGGGCTCCCCTCAATCTGGTGCAGTATCACACACAGATGGTCAGTGTCCCACTGACCTTTACGCAGGGCTGCAACTGATTTCATTATCAATTAAACACCTCCTTATGTTTTTGATTATGATTTGGATTATTTATGAAACAAAATGTCAGAAAAGAGTGAAAATGCCCTTCACAGGTCCAAAAAAAGAGAAGGTGACGTCTTTCAATAGTTTTTTGTCTAAGTGTTCAAAACCCCACATAATTTAATTTATGACATAATGCCTACATTTAAAGACTGGATTCACTTAATGTTTGGCTTTTTTTTCTTGATTTAAACAATTTGGCTCATCAGAATTGTTGCCAATTAATTTCCTGTTGATGCCCTTATCAATTAATGGACTAATTGTTTCGGTGTGCATGTTGACAGCTGTCTGTTAGTCCTTAAAGATTTTGTATATTTGTGTGTGGGACAATGAACTCTCTTCGACAGAACACAACACTGAAATGGTTGCACAGCATTAGCCACAGCGCTGACACCAGCCCCTTATCACAACATTACACATACTATGGAGCACATTCACTGTCGAGTCTTCTCGCTGGCTGCTCTGCTGCCCCCGAGACCCAGTATTGATCAGATCCCTGCGTCACAGGGAGCCAATGCAGCATAGCTATTGAACCGGCTACAAAAACAAGGAGAAAACAACCTGAGACACGACTTGCTCTGCCCTCACCTTGGCAGAGTACTCCACAGCAAATGCATTAGGGCTTCAAAGGCTCATTGAGTCGTCACAGTCTTGACATCCTCTCGCACAGATTTCCATCAAAAGCAGCGCTTGCGCCGATGACCTTGATGGCTATTTTCAGGAAACTCAGAAAGGGATAATCTGTTTCATTCCAGCAAGGCATTGTTTGGGAAAACAGAGACATGTTCTGACATGTCAGAGGGAGACGATAAGTGGGGGAAAAGATCCTTGATTTGTGTTGCAGATACTCAAATAACCATGGTAACTGGGTTCCAGTTGTATTATCTGTCTGCCTTGAGATTTTTTTTTTATCTTTCAGAGTCCAGACAGTGCTGGCTTGTCATGTAGTATCTTGCCTTCATGTAGGATGTAACCTTGACTCCCCTGTCCTCCTGCAAGGAGACTGATGAAGAGATTGTACTACAGTATTTTATCTGTTCACCCAGACCTTCTTAAACCCATTTCCATATTTCTCCAAATTCAATATTGACAATATGTAGGCTACCCATATCTGCAGGAGGGTTCCCTCAAACTTACCTTGCAGTGCTTTTCCCCAAACCCATTAACGTAAACCCCATCTCAATTTGCACTGGCTCAGAAGGGAGGAGCTGCTTTTATAGGACAATGCGGTTTACACCGAGGGGTACTTCTGGTGTCCTTGGAGAGAGGGAAGGCGTGTACATGTGAAAGAGAGACTGTGAGTGTGTTTTTTTTTACCAGGATGTTTTCTCTTTGTATGCATGCGTGCACAGTAAGGCATTCCCTGTGACCTGTCACCCCATTTCCCATCTCTGGCCTCACATCACTATGGTAATCTAACGGACAGTATCTGAACTTTACATCTTCTACTCCACTTTAGGATCAAATGGTTAAATCAGTGTATGGTTCACTTGGCTTTTTGAATCTGGCTTTTTGGATTTTGAGTTTTTTGCTGTTGCTGGAAGCAGCAGCCTCTTTCCATTGCTTTTTCTCTCCTTCTGCTCTGACAGATTTACAACATACCATTCTTGGTGTTACTATGGTGAACGTTTGTCTGTGCCCTTCTCTGAGAAGCCACTTCATTTTGTGTGAAGGTGGCTCCTTGTATTAGATGAGGTCTCTTGTGCAGCTGAATAACAATTCCTAGTTGAGGATAAACTGGAAACAAATGCATTTGACACACTTGGTCTCGTTTTGTTGTTGCTCCTGTTTATGAATGCCTCGAGTGTCTAACAATCGGTCACTATCGCCATCTGATTTGGCAACACAATGACCCACAGATCTAAATGGTCAATAATCACATATCTTGTCACTGACTTGTTGATCTGTTCCAGCCTTTGCACAGTGGTTTTGACCTCTGGTTATGGGAGGGGGTGGATTTTTTGCCACTGATGGCCTCTGTGATTTACAAGATAATGGTACAGAGAAGCTGTTATTGATGTAGGATGACTTGAAAGATGAGGTCTGATTGAACTGCTTGCTGCTTGTCCACGTGCCCTTCCAGAGGGTTTGTTGGAACTCAGCAGTAAAAAATACTTGAAATTTCCACTGATGTTACAATTGTTTGTTTATGCACTGTTGTTCTTTTCTAACCTTTCCCTGTCTAGACTTTGCTGTCTCTTTGCATGCAAAGGTGCATGTAGCGAGCTACCCTCTGTACATGCTGGATAAGGTTAATTGATTCCTCCTGGCTGACAGTCCCCCCCTGCCTCTGCATTCACTAGCTTGCAGTGCAGAAGGCTGAAACTAACATACTACTGTGTGTTATTAGTTGTTTTTGCATTATTAATGTTTTATTAGGCACTCATGAAAAACCAAGGGTGTCTGATGTAGCTGCCGCTTAACACAGTGGGACTGTAGAAGACGAAAAGAGGGAAGCTTTAACACCCACAGAGACGGCCTGAACAGCAGTCTTGTCTTCACTCTGACACACAGACGTGCACTCCCATACTCACATAGGCGCAAGGGGTGTGTTTTCTGCCGACAAATTTAGAAAGAACAGTTGCTCTCAGTCTCTCCCCTGAAGTGTGCGTAATGTGTGTCCCCTGCAGATTAGGAAGGAAAAAACGGGAATGAACAGTGAGTTTACAGTCAAACCTCACTGTGCTTTCATTATTTTTTTGTGGTTCAGGATTATCTACCACGGCCCTGGCACGTCCCTTTCTGTGCTCACTCAGTCAATTTCATTAAATTGTGTGTCCTGTTCTGCTTAGCAGCAGCCAAAGCAAATGCAGATTGTGCCCACACAGAGGCAAACACACAGGTCCCCAGAGGACTTGCCTTCTCCCTGCTGCTCTCTGCCGCTTCAGGCTGACGGATCAAATTTCAGGATTGGTGTAGGATACACGTGGCCCCATCAGAAGCTGGCACACATATAGAAAGAAGGCCGGTCCTGTTTCATCACTGTTCCTTTGGCTTACCCTCATGGAGGTTTTAAATATCGTTGCCCCCTTTCCCGCAACACAGTCCTACTGGTGCTGGTCACACTGGTCCTCAGGGTTACTCAGCAGCAGGTGACCTTTTTAGCTGCAGACTGCAGGGCTGCCCGCTCCGACTACTACTATTACGATGACTCCCCAGTGAACTGCAGACCTCTGTGTGGCCGATCCAGTGCCACTGATGACTGTCTGCAGGAGAAGTAGGAGTGATGGAATAAGACAGAGAAGGTTCAGATAAGTGTGGGAGTTCGTTTGTTTCCAGAGGCGGGGGTATCAACCACAACAACTGGACTGTAGTTATTGCTCAGCCTCATTGGCCAACGACTAGTGGCTATTTTTCAGTGTTGTGGTTGTTTTGACAGTGTGGGAAGGTTCCTGGGGAAATGCCACAAGAGGTTTTTGTGATAGCAGGAACGCTAAGAAACCTTTTGTGTCCAGCTAAGCAGGAAAGAAATGGACATTTTTTTCTTTGTTCTCGCTGGCTCTTTGGTCCATGTTTTTCCACTGAACCCTCATTGATCTCCTGGCTCTTGTTGACTCAGGTTAAAATTAAAAAAATGTTTCTAATTACCTTTGAAGTGGTTTAATTGATACCGCATAGAAACATTGCTGAGCATTTTTATTTCTTATACTTTTAGGAACATTTACTCATTTGAAATTGACTTGGAAGGCAAAACATTGTTTTTAGTCTCAATTAATGACGTGGTTATTTATGTGTAATAGACACAATATAACAACTGCAGAGAGCTCAGGATGGAGCCCTCCACCCCTAAACACAAATCATTGATTGTAGCATCTGTCAAGTTTGACAAATTACAGTCCCCCATTCACAAATGAATCCAATTTATGTCTAATTCACTATACATGGTAACCCTCTAACCTCCAAGCAATTGTGCTAGGAATTGCTTCTGTGACATTTTTAAACACT